CTCTGCTTTCCAAAAAAAATCAACCCAACCCCTCCCCCGGGCTGCAAATCTTTCCCCCCCTTTTAAAAAAATCATGGTATTGTCATGTAAAACCCGACCACATTGCTGGGATGGTCACTGCCCAGCGCCCCAGCCCCAAAACCCCCACCCCCATTTTTAAAAGGGGTTTTGCATAAAAAGGGAAAAAGTAGCTGGGGAGGGGGCCTCTTGCCTAAACCTCCCTTTCCCTACTACCGGCTGCCCCCAACTTAAAACCCTTTACCTGTACTCATACCACTGCCGAGGCATACAAAGTATCAACCCATCTTACAACCCCTCTCCAAAACTCTGCTTCAATAAAATAATCCTAAATAAATCCCGATCAACACAGTCATAAGCATTTTGCCAGTCAAGCTAGAGGACACACCCCCCCTTGACATTCCCCCAAAACTCCCTAATACGTACATGTCCTTCCCTCATGCTCCTACCTGGTATGCCCAGCTGTCCCTCGTGAATAACCGACCCCATGACTTCCCTCATCCTATTTCCCAAGACTATTGCAAAGATTTTATAGTCCGAACACATAAGAGATATTGCTCTATCCCCTCAGACCCGTCCCCCCTCCTTTTTTGGGCACCAACACAACTACCCTCGTACTCTTTGTCGTACCCAACCTTCCCTCCATGAGCATGCAATTCAATACATCAACCAAACAGTGCTTAATACTTCCCCAATGTGCCCTATAAAATTCATTCACATTGTCATCTATATCTGGTGCCTATCCTTTACTCATCCTAAAAATCGCCTCCTCTACTTCCTCCACTCGAATTCTACCTTCTAGTACCAGCCGATCCTTGTCACTTATAACTTTTCTGAAATCCCCCCCGCCAGGCCACCTGCATGAATCCTCCAAATGCCCCACCGGAGCTTTTCCCCAAACCAAAGATCAGCATAAAAACTCATGCTGTCTGTGGTGGGGAGTATCTGACCCGGCAGGTAACCATCCAAACCCCTGCATACTTCCAATTGCAAGAGGGATGTTGCCTGTTGTCTGACTCTAAATTTTCGCAAAACACAACCCGAAGGTTTGTCACCCCATAGCACCTCTTCCATACCCACTCTGACTCTAACCACATTGAAACGCTCATTGTGAATTTCTGCAAGTCATCTACAGAGATGTTCAATGTCTTCATACCTACTACTCCCACCCCCCCACATAATAATCATTCAGCTGCCCCTCCAGATAATTTTGCAGCCCATACCTCCACCTCGCCTCCTCCCTTCCCCGACATCTATAGTAATTCGCTATCCCGGGCTTGGCACTCCTTTCCCACCATTCTAACAAACATTCACATGCCCTCCGAGCTTCCCAGAGAGTCGTCCACCAATCCTGAAAAGAGGACCCCTTCCCCTTCCCCACCAAGAGCTGCACGTTTAGTTTCCAATAACCTGGATAAAGCTGGATCATCCCATCCCAGTTCAAGTCTGCTAGCACTGCACGTTGGTCTGAAAATCTCACATCAAACGTTTGAACATGCCTTACCCAAATTCCTTGCATTACGTACAGTCTATCCAGATGAGCCACATAGCCTCTTTGTAGAAATGTATGTTCCACCCTCACACTTCCTGCACTACCACATCATTGACCCCCAACATTCCCCAGCAGATTCCATAAGACAGGCAAAATGCACCCAGTCCCCCTCGGCTCAACATCGCCATGTCATATAAGGCAATTCCAAGCCCCACCCATGACCGTTATTAAAGGCAAGCCCCGAGTGTGATACATTAAAACATTCCTCACGAAATTCACTTTAACTTTTGTGTTGCTGTCTGTGGGCATATAAACTCCAAGAAAACAAACTCTAACCCCACCCCAATACGCATCCACAATTCCCACCCTCCCACCTCCTCTCATCCCAAGACATGCCAAGGGCTGGACTCCTTCACTGCTATAGCTACCCAACCCTTAAATTTTAAAGAATTACTTACATACATTCGGTAGCTTTTTAACCATAACTTTCTACCAAACCTGTAATTGTGTTCTTGTATAAAACATACATCCACAGTGTAACGTCACAAAAACCACTCCATCAGCCCGCAGGCCATTGGCATTGATAGCTACATACCTGAATTTACAAAAATGGTGGCTTTCCTCTATGTTTTTGGGTCTTTCCCATTCCCACTCATACATTACACTGACCTTCTTTGGCATTCGACTCCTCAAGACCCCTCACCCCAACGTGGCCTACCCGTATGCTGGGCACATGCAAGTACCACTTCCGTGAGAAGCAGTTCAGCCACTTTCGCCCATGATTTCTTCTCCGGACATAAGAACATAAGAAAGAAGGAACACTGCAACAGGCCTACTGACCCATGTGGAGCAGATCCATGTCCCCTCGGATTAGCCCAATGACCCACCCAGTCTGGTCACCTCGACTCAAGGATGGAGCATGGCACCAGACCTAGCAGCACAAATTAATCAGGTCCAACTCACATCCACCCACGCCCACTCATGTATTTATCTAACCTATTTTTAAAACTACACAACGTTTTAGCTTGAATAACTGTACTCGGGAGTTTGTTCCACTCATCCACGACTCTATTACCAAACCAGTGCTTTCCTATCTCCTTCCTGAATCTGAATTTTTCCAACTTGAAACCATTGCTGCGAGCCCTGTCTTGGCTGGAAATTTTCGGCACGCTATTTACATTCCCTTTATTTATTCCTGTTTTCCATTTATACACCTCGATCATATCCCCCCTAATTCTACGCCTTTCGAGAGAGTGCAGATTCAGGGCCCTCAGTCTATCCTCATAGGGAAGATTTCTGATACATGGGATCATCTTTGTCATCCTCCTCTGTACGTTTTCCAGAGCATTTATATCCATTCTGTAATACGGTGACCAGAACTGAGCAGCATAGTCTAAATGAGGCCTAACCAAGGATATATAGAGTTGAAGAACAACCTGAGGACTTCTATTATTCATAGTTCTAGATATGAAGCCAAGAATTCTGTTAGCTTTACTGCGAACACTAATGCACTGTTGTCTTGGTTTCAGATTACTGCTGACCAGAACTCCTAAATCCTTTTCGCAATCAGTAGTATTAAGATCTATATTATTTAGTTTATATGTGGCATGGTTACTTAACTGTCCAACATTTAGAACTTTTCATTTGTCAATATTAAACTGCATCTGCCACTTCTCCGACTATTGCATCAGTCTATTCAAATCATCCTGGAGTGCTCTAGTGCCCTCATTAGAATGAATTGGATGGCCTATTTTGGTGTCATCAGCAAATTTGCTTATGTTGATGTTTATTCCCTCATCTATGTCATTTATGTAAATTGTGAACAACAACGGGCCCAACACTGATCCCTGAGGAACGCCGCTTGTGACATGCCCCCATTCTGATTTCTCCCCATTTATGCAAACTCTCTGGTGCCTATTTGTCAGCCATGCCTCAACCCAAGAAAAATTTCTCCTCCTATTCCGTGTGCCTTAAGTTTCCTCAATAGCCTCTGGTGTGGAACTCTATCGACGCCGGACGCTGTCCTGGTGTCAAGATCTCGTCAATATCTGATGCTCCCGCCAATCGTTTGCGGGAGCCACCATCCACATGCATCTCCATCAGGCCCCACAGGCCCCACAGGAAGCACTGGCACGGTCGTGGCATCCACCAACAGGGTGGCACACATCGTAGACTGCTTTTCCTCTTGTTGCATCTCTTCACTCCAAAGCTTGGTACCTTGCCCAGCCGAGGGACCAGATTCAGGCTAGAAGGCCTCAGTTTGTAGGCCTGCAGGTGAATGGTCCCAGGTGCGGACAACCAGGCGACGGGAGCACTGAGCAGCCATATGGTCATATGAGCTGCATAACCTGCATGTCTTCCGTTGGCCTGCATAATGAACAAACACCTGGGTTCTTTATGTCTCCAGACGTACGTAAGATGGAATTGGCTGTTTTAACATCATCTTGATGGTGAAGGAGCCCTCCGGGAGTCCCTCATATGGGCCCTCTTTCCACACTCCCTTGGCTGCTGCATGCACCGTTCCGTATCTGCCAAAAACTTTCCGAAGATCGTACTCCTCAGCCTCGAAAGGCACGTTCCTCACCTTGATCCGGGTAACATATGTGGATACGTCAAGTAGACAAACCTCTACAGCTGAATTCACCTCCACAATCTTGGTGTAAAAGCCGGCATTCGCGAATTTCACAAATATCCTCGACATCCCATTGAGAGCTACGCCATATAATTCCTCGTTGGGGATGCCGTAGACATCACGAATAATGTACGGCAATAATACGTGCATGGTAGCACTACTGAGGGAATCACGGATGAACTCAACACAGACCGTGTTTACTCTCTGACCTTGACTGTCCGCCATCTTGTATATTGTAGTACATGGGCCGCCACCAGGTGTATGCAGGAGCAGGCTCAGAAAAGCGTCCTCCCAGCCCGCAGGTTGAGAGACAAATGTTGAAATAAGTTACAGGAAGGAGAGCTGCACCCTCCTGTTGTCGTGTGGGTGAGGCATTTTTTGGGATGGTCAAACGTGCATGTTCCACCTGTTTTTCCAGATATACCATGCCTGCAGGTACCCAAGGCATAGAATTTGCATAGATTGGAATTTTGTTTGCTAGGATTTTTTGTGAATGCATTCCCTGCTGGTGCATTTTTACTAAATTAGTACAAAAACTTGCCATCATTGTAATCATTGTGATAATTATTGTATGTCTTTTTTGATCAGCTCTGATTTTATAACCTTGTTGTATTTTCCAAAAAGAAAGATTCACATTGTTATTGGGATACATAAGTCACAAATTTTCTGTTTTATTTAATAAATTGGGATATTGATCTCCATTCAAAAATTAATTAAAGAATGCCTATTCTGATCAGCTTAAAAATATTAACGTATTCCTACATATTCCTAATTAAGCTAAATAATTTTCGTTCAGCAGTGCATCAACATTTACCAGGTGCAAAATATACATCTAATATTCATGTTTCGTTTCTCCAGCGCTGATAATTGGGCTAATTGGCACCGGCGTAGGAATACTGATGGAAAAGTTGGGAGGTGTGCTGCAAGTGGTGGTTATGTTCAGTGGGATCATATGTGGACCGCTAAATGGCATTTTTCTTGCTGGCATCTTGACCCCGTGGGTCAACGCCAAGGTAAGGGAACGTAGTGTGATTACTATCATTAGTAATAGTCATGATATTTTCTGATTTCTGAGAGTGTTTTTGCAATATATTTCTGTAGAAAATATTTATTCTCAGGAAGTTGTTCTTATATTTATGGTAACACAGGGCGCCATGGCTGGAGGACTCACCGCATTTGTTTTGAGTGCGTGGGTAGTTGCAGGCAATTATATGTATGGATCAGCGCCACGGTACCTGCCATTATCTACCTCGGGTTGTCCTGTAAACCTGGCTTCTCTTGACAACTTCACTGTTATCTCCTTCAGTAAACTTTTCAGCTACAGACTCTTTCATAAATAAGACAGTGACGAGGAGTACCTACAGACCAATTCAACGCTGAGTGACATTTTCACACCCACCACCGTCCAAGGGTTCGTATCATTTTGCAAGTACTTTCTCTATATTGCAACATGAATTCAGACATATTCATTTGTATGAGTTCAGATGTTGATCATTTCTTCATTTGGGAAAGTAAATCCAATCACATTACTTTCAACTGCTGTTTAAGATAGTTTAAGCAGAAGAATTTTCATTTCAATGTACACTGCAATGCTCATTTTCTTTGTTGTTATTCATTACCATTATAATTTTCTTGATCATTATAATCGACAAGTTACAAACAAATGTTACACAACTACAAGAACTTACAAGGATGAGATCCTTAGACCCGCATTACTGCAGGAGATTACTGTTTATATGAGGTACATCTTCTTTATGGAAGAAATCGTGTTGCTAGCGAAGGACACTTAACTGAGGAAATTGGAACTACCTTCTTGCTTTCTTCCCATTTCCCAGGAGCTGCATAACCCTTGTTGGGTTAACTCTCCTAATAAAAATAATAATATTCTAAGGAACAACATTAAATAACTCTCGGAACAGATTCATGGCTATTTAAGTGCTACTTATATTTATGACAAGCAGGTGTAGCAATCAGATATTGGAACAAGGTGCTGCGTAGAGGTAAATTGTTTCTGCTTCTAATGAACTTTGTTGAATAAAACAGTAATATAAAAAACATAATTGAGTCTAACTTGGATACTTTCGATCGTTGGGTTGAGTGAGCGAGTATTATGCTTCAATATGTATTTATGTTACAAAGCAAGTAATGTAAGTACAGAACTACAGCAAGAAGTGTTATTACTACAGTTGGTACCAGAGTTAAGTAGCAACACACAAGAAGAACACTAGATCAATGTACTTATCATGCTGCTCTACATCACAGTATTTACTTCCAAGTCATTACTTACATGGTGCATCAGTCATGCGCAAATATGATCTTAAACTAATAAATTAAAAAAATATTTTTTAGTCTTAATTTGTTCAATTTGAAAGTTCTGCTGCACATTCTGCTTTAGTAATTTGTAGCTATGCTAATGTTATTTATCAAGTCATTCTTCATCATTCTCTAAATTATGAGTTAAGTATTCTTAATATAACTTCCTTTGATTCATTATACTACAGTTGTTTTTTTAATCATCATTCACTAAATGTTTCCCAGTAAATTTTTTACTATATATATATATATAAATATATATATATATATATATATATATATATATATATATATATATATATATATATATATATATATATATATATATATATATATATATATATATATATATATATATATATATATATGTCGTGCCGAATAGGCAGAACTTGCGATCTTGGTTTAAATAGCAACGTTCATCTTGCCATATAGGACAAGTGAAAATTTGTGTATGCAATAATTTCGCCAATATCATTCTGAACCTAACGAAAAAAATATATTTCACTGTGTTTGTTTAGTATTAAATTATTGTAAACAAATCTAAAATATATTTAATTGCGCTAGGCTAAGATAAATTGTTCTTGTTATAATAAGGTTAGGTAAGTTTTCTAAGATTCTTTTGGTGAAAAATTATAAATTTTTACGTCAATATTAATGAAAAAAATATATCTTCAAACGTATAAGAGAAAATTTTAGAAAGGACATAATTTTAAATGACTTATTGCTAATTGACCAGTTTTACATATTCGGCACGACATTATATATATATATATATATATATATATATATATATATATATATATATATATATATATATATATATATATATATATATATATATATATATATAATGAGAGCATAGGCAATGGGTCGAAGAGGATGGGTAGGTTTAAAAAATGTAGTGTTAGGTGTTCAGCAGAAGTTTGTGGTTACAGGAAAGTGGGTGCAGGAGGGAAGAGGAGCGATTGTGGAATGATGATGTAAAGAGAGTAGTAAGGGAGAAAAAGTTAGCATATGAGAAGTTTTTACAAAGTAGAAGTGATGCAAGGAGGGAAGGTATATGGAGAAAAAGAGAGAGGTTAAGAGAGTGGTGAAGCAATGTAAAAAGAGAGCAAATGAGAGAGTGGGTGAGCTGTTATCAACAAATTTTTGTTGAAAATAAGAAAAAGTTTTGGAGTGAGATTAACAAGTTAAGGAAGCCTAGAGAACAAATGGATTTGTCAGTTAAAAATAGGAGAGGAGAGTTATTAAATGGAGAGTTAGAGGTATTGGAAGATGGAGGGAATATTTTGAGGAATTGTTAAATGTTGATGAAGATAGGAAAGCTGTGATTTCGTGTATAGGGCAAGGAGGAATAACATCTTGTAGGAGTGAGGAAGAGCCAGTTGTGAGGTGGTGGGGAAGTTCGTGAGGCAGTAGGTAAAATGAAAGGGGGTAAGGCAGCCGGGATTGATGGGATAAAGATAGAAATGTTAAAAGCAGGTGGGGATATAGTTTTGGAGTGGTTGGTGCAATTATTTAATAAATGTATGGAAGATGGTAAGGTACCTAGGGATTGGCAGAGAGCATGCATAGTTCCTTTGTATAAAGGCAAAGGGATAAAAGAGAGTGCAAAAATTATAGGGGATAAGTCTGTTGAGTGTACCTGGTAAAGTGTATGGTAGAGTTATAATTGAAAGAATTAAGAGTAAGACGGAGAATAGGATAGCAGATGAACAAGGAGGCTTTAGGAAAGGTAGGGGGTGTGTGGACCCAGGTGTTTACAGTGAAACATATAAGTGAACAGTATTTAGATAAGGCTAAAGAGATCTTTGTGGCATTTATGGATTTGGAAAAGGCGTATGACAGGGTGGATAGGGGGGCAATGTGGCAGATGTTGCAAGTGTATGGTGTAGGAGGTAGGTTACTGAAAGCAGTGAAGAGTTTTTACGAGGATAGTGAGGCTCAAGTTAGAGTATGTAGAAAAGAGGGAAATTTTTTCCCAGTAAAAGTAGGCCTTAGACAAGGATGTGTGATGTCACCGTGGTTGTTTAATATATTTATAGATGGGGTTGTAAAGAAGTAAATGCGAGGGTCTGGCAAGAGGCGTGGAGTTAAAAGATAAAGAATCACACACAGGGGGGGGAGTTGTCACAGCTGCTCTTTGCTGATGACACTGTGCTTTTGGGAGATTCTGAAGAGAAGCTGCAGAGATTGGTGGATGAATTTGGTAGGGTGTGCAAAAGAAGAAAATTAAGGTGAATACAGGAAAGAGAAAGGTTATGAGGATAACAAAAAGATTAGGTGATGAAAGATTGAATATCAGATTGGAGGGAGAGAGTATGGAGGAGGTGAACGTATTCAGATATTTGGGAGTGGACGTGTCAGCGGATGGGTCTATGAAAGATGAGGTGAATCATAAAATTTGGGATGAGGGAAAAAGAGTGAGGGGTGCACTTAGGATTTCTGTGGAGACAGAGAACTTTGTCCTTGGAGGCAAAGAGGGGAATGTATGAGATATAGTTTTACCAATGCTCTTAAAAGGGGTGTAAGCATGGGTGATGAATGTTGCAGCGAGGAAAGAAGGCTGGAGGCAGTGGAGATGTCATGTCTGAGGGCAATGTGTGGTGTGAATATAATGCAGAGAATTCGTAGTTTGGAAGTTAGGAGGAGGTGCGGGATTACCAAAACTGTTGTCCAGAGGGCTGAGGAAGGGATGTTGAGGTGGTTGGGACTTTGTAGAGAGAATGGAGCGAAACAGAATAACTTCAAGATTTGTATCAGTCTGTAGTGGAAGGAAGGCGGGGTGGGGGTCGGCCTAGGAAGGGTTGGAGGGAGGGGGTAAAGGAGGTTTTGTGTGCGAGGGGCTTGGACTTCCGGCAGGCATGCGTGAGCGTGTTTGTAGGAGTGAATGGAGACAAATGGTTTTTTAATACTTGACGTGCTTGTTGGAGTGTGAGCAAAGTAACATTTATGAAAGGGATTCAGGGAAACCGGCAGGCCGGACTTGAGTCCTGGGATGGAAGTACAGTGCCTGCACTCTGAAGGAGGGGTGTTAATGTTGTAGTTTTAAAAACTGTAGTGTAAAGCACCCTCTGGCAAGACAGTGATGGAGTAAATGATGGTGAAAGTTTTTCTTTTTCGGCCACCCTGCCTTGGTGGGAATCGGCCAGTGTGATAATAAAAATATATATATATTATATATATTTTATATATAAAATATATATATATATATAAAATATATATATATATATATATTATAATATATATATATAAAATTATATAATATATATTTTACCAAACTGCAGCCTGCCAGGATTAGATCCTGCGACACATTCTCCCGCCTCAAGAAACAGAACATCACTCACACCACTCAACCAGCGATCCTTCAAAGACCATGCAGCCACCAGAGTTAGGTGTTAATTTTCCGAGGTGGATAATGAACAACACCTAACTGAAACAATTAATGGAAAATAAAATACATGAATTAATTTCTTGGAAGTCAAGTAATGTAAAGGTGCCTGGAGAGTCCCGTGTTAACTCTCACTGGGTGAAGAAGAGGGAGGTGGGTAGAGATGTAACCATACATCCCCAATGCCAAACAAGCATTAAGTTAATTATACTACCAATCATTCAGGCTTCCACTCTTCACTCAAGAAAGAGCGTAATCTGGAATTGTTGAAAATTCTGGTCTTGTTTTAGTGTGGAAATAAATGGTATAAAATACCGACACAATGGAAATATAAACACATATGCAGTATAATGTGATCCTTTATTGATAACTTTTCGCCCACACAGTGGGCTTTTTCAAGTCACAAACAGATCTACCTGGGGTGTATGTATGTATAATGTTCGCCAAGACCGTAGTCCTGGCACGGGTCTCAATCTTGCGATGACCCGTCTCCTAGTTGCCTGCGGAGTGTCTCATTAACTTCGCACTCCAGAAGATAGTGTGTTAGGGGCCGCTGGACAACGTGCTGACAGTACTGGCACATCTCCTCCTCAGCCTTGTC